TCTCCCCGGGTGCTAGTGCTGTCTGCTTTTACCAGCAGCACTAGCACTGCGGGGGGTGTTTTAAAATAAAAAAAATAAAAAAAGGCTAAAAGAAATTCTACAATATTCTACAACAATGGGACAATTTTATTGTTAATATGACTGTGTGGGAGGAAGGAACTAGGGTGTAAAAGAAGGTTTTTGGTGCCTGATATGGCGCGAAGAGGTTCCCCACCCCCTGTGTTTTTTCCTTTACCTGCTCAGCCAATCCTCTGGATTCCAGAGCAATCAATGCTGGCAGGCGTCGTTCAATCTTCTCTCCCGATATCCTTCAATTTCATTCTGTATTAGGGAAGCTGGACCCCTTTTCCAGCAGGTGATGCTCCCCATGAATAGATGGAGACCCCCCCGACGTGCTAGTGGTGTCTGCTTTTATCAGCACCACTACCACTGGCAGGCCAAAAAAAAAAAAAAAAAAGGGACGCTGGGCTCAGTACCCAGCACGTGTTGCTCCCCACGAATAGATTGGAGCACAAAAGGTAAAAATGGGTTCAATTGGGTGGGCCCCTCACTCCTAGGCCTGCCTGTGGCCAGGTCTTTTGTTTCTTGGGGTCAAAGGAAAAAAACTTTAAAAAGGGTCCAAGTGGGTGGGCCCCTCCCACCCAGGCCTGCCTGTGGCCAACTCTTTTGTTTTTTGGGGTCAAACCTTTCCCAGTCTTTTTGCTAAGATCAAGTGTGCCCAGTTTAATATCTGAGCCATGGTCCATCGGGCCACATGATATTAAATTAATGAGAAAACTACGGCGCAGTCAGGGTTGCATTTCAAAAATTCAAACTGCGTTTTAGCAGTTTAGTCAGGGCCCGAGTTTCAGATGTAGTTGAAACTCGGGCTGGCCTTTTTTAGCAGTTCAGTCAGGCATGTGGCCCTTTTTTTTTTTTTTTTTTTTTTTTTGACGCATGGCGGGGCCATGACGGAGATGGCTCGGTCACACCCGATGGAAAAAAGGGAAAAAAAAGCATCTCGTTGTGTGGCGGGGAGTACTAATAACGTTCCTCTCCCAGGCAAGCTCTTGCGCTTTGGATGCACAGTGCTACCAGATCAAAACGGATGGTGGCAGCAGCCAAAAAAGAAAACGAAATTCTCCCGCTGGCAGTTAGTTTTCGTTTAGGCTAAGCGTGCAGTGCAGTGGAACTGCTCGTGGGGAAAAAGAGGCTGGCCAGGTACTGGTGTTCAAACGGCTGAGCTCCTTCAGAGAAAGAGAGAGAAAAAAGAAGCGAAAAAATGGGCGACGACCCTGAGATAGACAGACACACAGACAGACAGACAGACAGACAGACACAGTTTTCGGCATGAAACAGTCGTTGCTTGAGGATGGATGACACGACCGGCCCCAGGTAACTCAGAATAATTTGGTAATGTTCATATATCAAGAGAGACAGACAGACAAAGTGATACGCATGAACAGTCTTTCCGTGAGGACAGTGCGCACCGTGCGGCAAAAAACAGTTGGGTGGCGTGAGTGGGTACCTTACGCTGTCAGCCATATATATTATGCTGTTCAGCCTCTAGCTAGGACATTAGGAGGATGGCCTCTAACTAACAAGCATACATCGTGTCAGGGAGGTCACTGCAGCTTTGAAATCAGTTTATAGATATGCTCGAACCTCGTCAATTGTCCCGTCACCACTCCTGCGGGCTGATGAGCTGAGTCATTGGAGGAAGAATTATGATAGCGCATGACAAGGAATGTGCAGGCCTCTGTGTGTGTGTGTGTGTGTGTTTGTGTGTGTGTGTGTGTGTAGTATTGTTACTAAACTCCCGTGTGAACAGACGTGGCGAGCTGCGCAGAAAGCACATCAAGCAACAGTCCAAAAAATAAATTGTCCACTTCATATGGCATGAGCAAACAAAGAGAAGCTGAATGCCCTACTGTGTAAGCCAACCACACTAGAACATGGGGAGAAGACAGAGGGAGCACACAAGAGATAATGCACACTGAGGAGACGTACGAGACACATAAATGACAAGCAACAACAAAACACAGGCTGGAGGGCACGGGGGAGGCTGGAGGGCGCGGGGGAGGCGGGAAGGCACAGAAACACATAGGAAAAGAAAAAGACAAATTGAATCCGTACTTGATGGTTTGGGTCATGAACCCTTTGACCCTTGTTGAAGGCAGACTGTCGCCAAGCGGAACATAGCAGCGGGCAGCAACCCTGTGGACCACCAGGCAACACAATAGAGGCAACACGGCTGCACAACGCCAAAAATGACTGCAAGGAACGACATGGCACGCAGGGCATGCAGCGCGACAACCGTGTAGTGAAGCACAAGACAACACAAATAAGGCAACAACACTAGAGGGGACGACAGGGCGAGCAGACCAGCATGTGAGCAACCGTGAAGCGGAGCACAAGCCACCAGCAACAAGGCAACCAACTTACAGGGCACACAAGCAGCAAGCACGGAAAGCACGGCCAGCAGATGAGCAGCACGGCAGCGGAGCAGCGAAGCGCAAGGCAACACCAACAACACAGCTACACCACACAGCAAACACATCAACCTGTGAAGAACCACATGCAAAGCAAGCAGGACAGGCAGCAGGGCAGCGACGGAGCGCAGACGAGGACGTCCACACATCCAACGCGGAGCAAAGCAGAACATGACCTACTCACATCACGATTGAACCCTGCAGACTGTTGGTTCCCACCACCCACTGAGCCAGGGAGTCTGTGGCATACTGCGTAGCCACATGGGCCCTGCAGGGCCCGTCCCGGACATTCAGCCTAAAAGTCTAAAACTTAGGGCTTACAGGCCCCGTTCGTTTCAGCCTGAAAGCTAAAAAAACGAGGGCCTGCAGGCCCTACCCCGTTTCAGCCTATTTCTGGGTCTTTTCAGACCCAGAGTTTTCAGCCTGAAACGGAGGGCCATTTTCAGGCCCTCATTGTTTCGACCTGCCCCTAAAACTCAGACACGTAAACATGGATGCGGAACAGGCCAGAAATAGCCTGTTCCTCACGAGTTTGAGCAGGAGCTGCAGCTGCAGCCCCTGCCTCCCTTCGGCAGGCTCAGGAGGCACACCCGGTAGTACATAGGAAGTTCCCATGCACTTCACGGGTAGGTAGTTCA